GTGGGTGGGCCTGCCACGGGAATGTGGAGTTGCCGCCAGCTGGAAACCCCCTGCATGGCCATTGGGAGACCTGGGCACTTCTAAATCAACTAAACAATTTTTTTTATTTCACTAGGTAAGGCCCACTAGCTCTTTTTCAGAAGCGACCTGGCTATCACAAATGATAGCTCAGTGAAGTGGCTTATCACGTGGAAATTTATAGCAGACAAAATACTCTAAATGCGTGATGTTGATTATAAATGTTGGAGGAAAAAATCGGAGGACTCGGAGAAAAATCCATGCGACCATGGGGAGAGAGAGACACGCAAACTCCAAATATACAGCAGGCATCAGGATCGAACCCACGACCTCTTATATATCAGGCGAGGACATTAACATCTCACCACCGCGGTACCCCCCGCCCGACCCCCCATCTGTATATTTGGAGTTTGCGTCTCTCTTTCTGTCCCTGTGGTTGTGTGGATTTTTCTCCGGGTCCTCTGGTTTTTTCCTCCAACATTTAGAATCAACGTAACACGTTTAGGGGGGTGGGTGCGATACCAGTATGGCAGGGAGAAGGATGGTCTCAAACGGACTGGACTTTGGTGATGGCCACGAGCTAATGGGACGTGGAACGTCACTGGGGGGGAAGGAGCCAGAGCTCGTGGAGGAGGTGGACAGATACCGACGAGATATTGTCGGTATCACCTCCACACACAGCATTGAGTAACCTCTGGTGAGAGGCCCCGGGTGGGTGTGGGGATTCTCACAAGCCCCTGGCTGGGTGCTGTTCAACTGGAGTTTATCCCAGTGGATGAGAGGATCGCCTCAATGAGACTTTGGGTCTCAGAAAGGAAAACTCTGACTGCTGTCTGTGATTATGCCGCAAACAGCAGTTCAGAGTATTCGGCCTTCTTGGAGACGTTGGGTGCAGTGCTCGACAGAGTGCCGCCTACCGACTCTTGCCGGGCGACTTCAATGCTCACGTGGGAAACAATGGAGATGCCTGGAGAGGCGTGATTGGAAGGAATGGCCCCCCCGATCAGAACCAGAACGGTGAGATGGTATTGGAATTCTGTGCTAGTCACGGAATGTCAATAACAAACACCATGTACGAACACAAGGATGCTCATAAGTGTACTTGTTACTAGAGCACCTTGGGCCGAAGGCTAATGATTGACTTTATAGTTGTATCATCGGACCTAAGGCCATATGTTCTGGACACTCGGGTGAAGAGAGGGGCAGAGCTGTCAGCTGATCACCACCTGGTGGTTAGTTGGATCCGATGCTTGTGGCACCGACCAGATAGACGTGGACGGCCCCAACGAATAGTGCGCGGTTTTCTGGGAACGTCTGGCGGAAGACCCAGTGAAGAAAGATTTTAACTTCTACCTCTGGGAAAAAGTCTCCTGTACTCCTGGGGAGGTCATGGACATTGAGTTGAAGTGGACGATGTTCAGGACCTCAATGTGGATTCAGCTGCGAAAAGCTGTGGCCTGAAGGAAGTTGGTGCCTGTCATGGCGGCAACCCTAGGACCCGCTGGTGGACACCAGTGGTGAGGGAAGCTGTCAAGTTGGAGAAGGAGGCTTCCTGAGCTATGCTCAATTGAGAGGCACCGGCTTCCCAAGAGGGCGGCAGCTGCAGCAGTCGCTGAAGCGAAAGCCCCGTGGGCTTGGGAGGAGTTTGGAAAGGCCCTGGAGAGGGACTACCGGGCAGCCTCAAAGACTTGCAGGCAAACTATCAGATGCCTTACGAGGAGTCGACGGGACGTGGCCCAGGCTATTTTCAGTAATGGTGGCGTAACATTGACCTCAACTAAGGAGATAGTCGACAGGTGGAAGGAACACTTTGAGGAGCTCCTCAACCTGGCGGACATGCCCTCCTCTCTGGAGGCAGCCCTGGAAACAGCTTGGGGGGGGTCAGACCCATCACGTTTGCTGAAGTCGCTGCGGCAGTCGAGGGCCGCCTTCATAACGGCAAAGCTGTTGGGGTGGACGAGATTCACCCAGAGTTGTTAAAAGGCGCTGAGCAGTGTAGGAGTGTCGTGGTTAACACGCCTCTTCAGTGTTGCATGGAAGGCAGGTACAGTAACTCTGGATTGGCAAAGTGGGGTCGTGGTTCCCATTTTTTTGATAAAGGGGACCAGAAGGTGTGCTCCAACTACAGGGGATCGCTCTCCTCAGCGTCGCAGGTAAAGCCGACGCCGGAGTGCTGGACAGGAGGCTCTGTCCATTGGTCGAGCCTCAGATCCATGAGGAACGATGCGGATCCCATCATGATCGTGCAACAATGGACCGGCTCTTTTCCCTGTTCCAGATATTGGAGGGATCATGGGAGTATGCATCTCCAGTCTACCTCTGCTTTGTAGACTTGGAGAAATCACATGACCGTGTAACCCACAATGTCTTGTAGGAGGTGTTGCGGGAGTATGATGTACTGGTGCCTCTTTTGTGCGCTATCCGGTCCCTCTATTCGCAGAGCGAGAGCCGTGTCCGTATTCTTGGTGTTAAATCAAAGTCGTTCACTGTGGGTGTTGGACTCCGCCAAGGGTGCATCCTGTCTCTACCCCTATTTCTGATTTTCATGGACAGAATATCAAGGCGCAGCCGAGGTATCCAGTACTGGGGTATGGAGGTGGCGTCGCTGCTGTTTGCAGATGACTGTCGTCCTCTTTGCCTCGTCAGTCTGTGATCTCGGCATGCACTTGGACGGTTTGATGCCGAGTGTGAAGCGGCCGGGATGAGGATCAGCACCTCCAAATCTGAGGTCATGGTTCACTCCCAGGAGATGGTAGACTTTCCTCGAAGTACCTTGGGGTCTCTTTCGCAGGTGATGGTAAGATCGGCCGGCGGAGCGGTGCAGCGTCCGCAGTGTTGCGGGCGCTGTACCGTTCCGTGGTAGTGAAGCGGGAGCCGAGTTCTCGAACAAAGCTCGCAGTTTACAGGTCGATCTACGTTCCCACCCTCACCTATGGTCATGATCTGTGGGTAATGATCGAAAGGATGAGATCGCAGGTAAAAGGGGCGAAATGAGGTTTCTCCGCAGGGTTTCCGGGCTCACCACTCTCTGTGATCTGGCGAGGAGTTCGGTAACCCGGGAGAGCCTCGGGGTCGATCCGCTGCTCCTCCGAATCGAGAGGAGCCAGTTGAGGTGGTTCGGGCACCTGGTGAGGATGCCCTCCAGGAGACTCCCCCTGGAACTCTACCGGGCACGTCCTCCTGGGCGAAGACCCCGAGGCTGGCCCAGGATATGCTGGCAGGACTATGTCACCGAGCTGGCCTGGGAACACCTGGGAATTGACCAGGAAGAGTGAGAGTCGTCATCAGGGAAAGGGAGGTCTTAACCGCCCTACTCAACATGCTGCCGCTGCGACCCTTGTCAAGACAAGCAGATTGAGGAACGAACAAACGAATAACACTTTCAGAGTATTTGGCTGCAAAACATTTACACATGATGATAAGCGACTCCGTTGAGCTATCATATGTGATAGCCAGGTCTATATAGCTCAGTGGGCCTTACCTGCTAACAAAGATTTTTTAAATAAAATCTCATGGGAAGTCAAGCAGGAGTTAAGCCTAGTCACAGGAAGTTACATCACTTCCACAATGTGACAGCCAGGCTAAGAGGGTCCAGCCGTGTTTCTGCAGCAGGGGGCGATGATTTTGCTGCTGCTGCTGCTGCTGTGGTTGTGACCGATAGCAATTCCACTGTGAGTGTGAGTTTAGCTATGGGAGGAGGAAACCAGAGAACCCGGAGGAAAACCCACGCGGCACAGGGCGAGAGAATACAAAACTCCACACAGAAGGAGAGAGAGGCACCCAGCCGCCCTACGCCCTGAGACTAAACCTGTCACCCAATCATTTATGATGGCAGCACTCAAGAAATAAAATCATAAATGTGATTTTTTAAAATTCAAAAGTGCTTGTGGTGGCTCAGCAGTTAGCGCGCGCTGTGCTATGAACCCAGTGACCCGAGGTCGATTTCTGCTCACGGCCAACACCAGTCCTAGGCCTCCCCGAGCTTGACTCAAACGCAAATGCGTACCTGGTGTAATGTGAAAACGTCTACACTCGGGAGACAAAGGCAGCCGGGCGTGGTGCAGGCCACCCACCCCCTCGTGTGCCGCGCTGGCCTTCATTAGGTGCTACTCGCAAACTGTACTTCCCCCAACAGTCTGTTAAGGCTACATGGGTGACCTTTGTCTTTCTTGTTCCAGATGAGGAGCTGGGGGGGTCGGTGACTGTGCAGCAGTTTGAGGACAAGGCGAGGGAAGGTGAGACGGGAACCTTGGAGTCCAACCCAGGTGCTCGGAGGTGCTGGCTGATATTCTCTCTTGGATTTTAAACACTAAAACTATAAACTATTCTTATTTTACCAGGTAAGGCCCACTGAGATATAAAGCTCTTTTTCAGAAGTGACCTGGCCACAAATGATAGCTCAACGAAGTGGCTTACCATGAGGAAATTTACATCAGCCACATGGTCTTTACACGTGATGTTGATTCTAAATGTGGAGGGGAAAACCCGGAAGATGCGGAGAAAAATCCACACGACCAAGACGAGAGAGAAAGAGACACCCAAACTGCAAATATACAGCAGGTGTCAGGGTCAGGATCGAACCCACGACCTCCTGCATACTAGGCAAAGGAGTTCACATCTCATAGCCACCGCCGGCCTCTGTAAATGCACAGGAGGTTGTTTGACCATACTTCACCACGCCGGTGAGTGCGGGTTTGGCGAAGGTGGCGGTGTGCGAGGGGGCCCCTAGGAGTGGTTTGCCCGCCGCTCACAATTGGTGTTGGCCACCGTGGCCCGGAATCCATCTCTGGTCGCTGGGTTTGTAGAACTGTGCGCTGACCGCTCCACCACCGCTCCACCCAAACAATTTCCTTGCGCAGCCATCAAGAACCCTTGGCTGACTGCGTATGTGTGCATGAGCGTGTGTGTCGGTGTGTGGTAGAGCGCAAGTGTAGCAGTTCGCGCGCCGTACTACGAACCGGATAACCTGAGTTTGATTCCCGCTCATGGCCAACACCAGTGACGATTATCTGAACTAGGCCTAGGCCTCCCCTAGGTTGATTTAGCCTCAATGAGTATCTAGTGCAGTGAGTAAACATTGCTACTAGGGAGACAAAGGCGGCCGGACATGGTGCTGGTCACCCACCCCCTTGTGTGCCGTGCTGGCCTTCATAGGCGTTCACTAACAGCACTGTCCCAACAATATATTAAGGCTATACAGGGGGTCTTTGTATGCGTGTCTCAGCGCCCTGCCTCTCCACATTTTGATCTGGATCCTCCAGTTTTTCATGCCACATTTAGACTCGGCGTGCATTTTTAGTATTTTAGTTGCTATAAATTTCCACATGATAAGCCACTTCGTTGAGCTATCATCTGTGGTCAGGTCGCATCTGAAAAAGAGATATAGAGCTCAGTGGGCCTCACCTGGTAAAATAAAAATGTATTTATAGTTCGTTCACAGTGACAGTGGCAGCAGCAGCAGCAGCAAGGTAAATCAGGATCTCGATAGCAATGTTGAGGTCTTCTGCTGCTGCTCGCCTTCAGCACAGAGAGAGTTCGTAGTACGGTGCTGCTGTTCGCCATGACAAGATGACTTCAGCACAGAGAGAGTTTGTAGTACGGTGCTGCTGTTCGCCATGACAAGGTGACTTCAGCACAGAGAGAGTTTGTAGTACGGTGCTGCTGTTCGCCATGACAAGATGACTTCAGCACAGAGAGAGTTTGTAGTACGGTGCTGCTGTTCGCCATGACAAGATGACTTCAGCACAGAGAGAGTTTGTAGTACGGTGCTGCTGTTCACCATGACAAGATGACTTCAGCACAGAGAGAGTTTGTAGTACAGTGCTGCTGTTCGCCATGACAAGATGACTTCAGCACAGAGAGAGTTTGTAGTACGGTGCTGCTGTTCACCATGACAAGATGACTTCAGCACAGAGAGAGTTTGTAGTACGGTGCTGCTGTTCACCATGACAAGGTGACTTCAGCACAGAGAGAGTTTGTAGTACGGTGCTGCTGTTCGCCATGACAAGATGACTTCAGCACAGAGAGAGTTCGTAGTACGGTGCTGCTGTTCGCCATGACAAGATGACTTCAGCACAGAGAGTTTGTAGTACGGTGCTGCTGTTCGCCATGACAAGATGACTTCAGCACAGAGAGAGTTTGTAGTACGGTGCTGCTGTTCGCCATGACAAGATGACTTCAGCACAGAGAGAGTTTGTAGTACGGTGCTGCTGTTCGCCATGACAAGATGACTTCAGCACAGAGAGAGTTTGTAGTACGGTGCTGCTGTTCACCATGACAAGATGACTTCAGCACAGAGAGAGTTTGTAGTACAGTGCTGCTGTTCGCCATGACAAGATGACTTCAGCACAGAGAGAGTTTGTAGTACGGTGCTGCTGTTCACCATGACAAGATGACTTCAGCACAGAGAGAGTTTGTAGTACGGTGCTGCTGTTCACCATGACAAGATGACTTCAGCACAGAGAGAGTTTGTAGTACGGTGCTGCTGTTCGCCATGACAAGATGACTTCAGCACAGAGAGAGTTTGTAGTACGGTGCTGCTGTTCGCCATGACAAGGTGACTTCAGCACAGAGAGAGTTTGTAGTACGGTGCTGCTGTTCGCCATGACAAGGTGACTTCAGCACAGAGAGAGTTTGTAGTACGGTGCTGCTGTTCGCCATGACAAGATGACTTCAGCACAGAGAGAGTTCGTAGTACGGTGCTGCTGTTCGCCATGACAAGATGACTTCAGCACAGAGAGAGTTCGTAGTACGGTGCTGCTGTTCGCCATGACAAGATGACTTCAGCACAGAGAGAGTTTGTAGTACAGTGCTGCTGTTCGCCATGACAAGATGACTTCAGCACAGAGAGAGTTTGTAGTACGGTGCTGCTGTTCACCATGACAAGATGACTTCAGCACAGAGAGAGTTTGTAGTACGGTGCTGCTGTTCACCATGACAAGATGACTTCAGCACAGAGAGAGTTTGTAGTACGGTGCTGCTGTTCGCCATGACAAGGTGACTTCAGCACAGAGAGAGTTTGTAGTACGGTGCTGCTGTTCGCCATGACAAGATGACTTCAGCAAAGAGAGAGTTCGTAGTACGGTGCTGCTGTTCGCCATGACAAGATGACTTCAGCACAGAGAGAGTTCGTAGTACGGTGCTGCTGTTCGGCATGACAAGATGACTTCAGCACAGAGAGAGTTTGTAGTACGGTGCTGCTGTTCGCCATGACAAGATGACTTCAGCACAGAGAGAGTTCGTAGTACGGTGCTGCTGTTCGGCATGACAAGATGACTTCAGCACAGAGAGAGTTCGTAGTACGGTGCTGCTGTTCGCCATGACAAGATGACTTCAGCACAGAGAGAGTTCGTAGTACGGTGCTGCTGTTCGCCATGACAAGATGACTTCAGCACAGAGAGAGTTCGTAGTACGGTGCTGCTGTTCGCCATGACAAGATGACTTCAGCACAGAGAGAGTTCGTAGTACGGTGCTGCTGTTCGCCATGACAAGATGACTTCAGCACAGAGAGAGTTCGTAGTACGGTGCTGCTGTTCGCCATGACAAGATGACTTCAGCACAGAGAGAGTTCGTAGTACGGTGCTGCTGTTCGCCATGACAAGGTGACTTCAGCACAGAGAGAGTTCGTAGTACGGTGCTGCTGTTCGCCATGACAAGATGACTTCAGCACAGAGAGAGTTTGTAGTACGGTGCTGCTGTTCACCATGACAAGATGACTTCAGCACAGAGAGAGTTTGTAGTACGGTGCTGCTGTTCACCATGACAAGATGACTTCAGCACAGAGAGAGTTTGTAGTACGGTGCTGCTGTTCGCCATGACAAGGTGACTTCAGCACAGAGAGAGTTCGTAGTACGGTGCTGCTGTTCACCATGACAAGATGACTTCAGCACAGAGAGAGTTCGTAGTACGGTGCTGCTGTTCGCCATGACAAGATGACTTCAGCACAGAGAGAGTTCGTAGTACGGTGCTGCTGTTCGCCATGACAAGATGACTTCAGCACAGAGAGAGTTCGTAGTACGGTGCTGCTGTTCACCATGACAAGATGACTTCAGCACAGAGAGAGTTCGTAGTACGGTGCTGCTGTTCGCCATGACAAGATGACTTCAGCACAGAGAGAGTTCGTAGTACGGTGCTGCTGTTCGCCATGACAAGATGACTTCAGCACAGAGAGAGTTCGTAGTACGGTGCTGCTGTTCACCATGACAAGATGACTTCAGCACAGAGAGAGTTTGTAGTACGGTGCTGCTGTTCGCCATGACAAGATGACTTCAGCACAGAGAGAGTTCGTAGTACGGTGCTGCTGTTCGCCATGACAAGATGACTTCAGCACAGAGAGAGTTCGTAGTACGGTGCTGCTGTTCGCCATGACAAGATGACTTCAGCACAGAGAGAGTTTGTAGTACGGTGCTGCTGTTCGCCATGACAAGGTGACTTCAGCACAGAGAGAGTTCGTAGTACGGTGCTGCTGTTCGCCATGACAAGGTGACTTCAGCACAGAGAGAGTTCGTAGTACGGTGCTGCTGTTCGCCATGACAAGGTGACTTCAGCACAGAGAGAGTTCGTAGTACGGTGCTGCTGTTCGCCATGACAAGATGACTTCAGCACAGAGAGAGTTCGTAGTACGGTGCTGCTGTTCACCATGACAAGATGACTTCAGCACAGAGAGAGTTCGTAGTACGGTGCTGCTGTTCGCCATGACAAGATGACTTCAGCACAGAGAGAGTTCGTAGTACGGTGCTGCTGTTCGCCATGACAAGATGACTTCAGCACAGAGAGAGTTCGTAGTACTGTGCTGCTGTTCACCATGACAAGATGACTTCAGCACAGAGAGAGTTCGTAGTACGGTGCTGCTGTTCGCCATGACAAGATGACTTCAGCACAGAGAGAGTTCGTAGTACGGTGCTGCTGTTCGCCATGACAAGATGACTTCAGCACAGAGAGAGTTCGTAGTACGGTGCTGCTGTTCACCATGACAAGATGACTTCAGCACAGAGAGAGTTCGTAGTACGGTGCTGCTGTTCGCCATGACAAGATGACTTCAGCACAGAGAGAGTTCGTAGTACGGTGCTGCTGTTCGCCATGACAAGATGACTTCAGCACAGAGAGAGTTCGTAGTACGGTGCTGCTGTTCGCCATGACAAGATGACTTCAGCACAGAGAGAGTTCGTAGTACGGTGCTGCTGTTCGCCATGACAAGATGACTTCAGCACAGAGAGAGTTTGTAGTACGGTGCTGCTGTTCGCCATGACAAGATGACTTCAGCACAGAGAGAGTTCGTAGTACGGTGCTGCTGTTCACCATGACAAGATGACTTCAGCACAGAGAGAGTTCGTAGTACGGTGCTGCTGTTCGCCATGACAAGATGACTTCAGCACAGAGAGAGTTCGTAGTACGGTGCTGCTGTTCGCCATGACAAGATGACTTCAGCACAGAGAGAGTTCGTAGTACGGTGCTGCTGTTCGCCATGACAAGATGACTTCAGCACAGAGAGAGTTCGTAGTACGGTGCTGCTGTTCACCATGACAAGATGACTTCAGCACAGAGAGAGTTCGTAGTACGGTGCTGCTGTTCGCCATGACAAGATGACTTTAGCACAGAGAGAGTTCGTAGTACGGTGCTGCTGTTCGCCATGACAAGATGACTTCAGCACAGAGAGAGTTTGTAGTACGGTGCTGCTGTTCGCCATGACAAGATGACTTCAGCACAGAGAGAGTTCGTAGTACGGTGCTGCTGTTCGCCATGACAAGATGACTTCAGCACAGAGAGAGTTCGTAGTACGGTGCTGCTGTTCGCCATGACAAGATGACTTCAGCACAGAGAGAGTTTGTAGTACGGTGCTGCTGTTCGCCATGACAAGATGACTTCAGCACAGAGAGAGTTTGTAGTACGGTGCTGCTGTTCGCCATGACAAGGTGACTTCAGCACAGAGAGAGTTCGTAGTACGGTCCTGCTGTTCCTCCTCCATTGAAGGTGCGCAGACCACAGTGATTTAATTATTCATCCATAATGCAGGTCTTTTTGGGTTAGATCGCGTAAATATAAATGTGTCGTGAAACCCGCCACTACCCGACACAACCAATTAGTAAGGTTTGTCACGTAAACAGAACATGCCAATTAGTGTTCAGTCGGCTACACCAGGGTCTGATTTTGCATGTGCCCCCCACCTCCCCCCACCTCCCCCCACCCCATCCCAGTGTGTGGGGCCCCAGATGATTGGGCGGAGCAGCAGCCCTTCCTGTGCCTGGACCTCACGTACATCTCCACGCTACTTCAGCACGGCTTTGGCTTCCAGCCTGACTCAACCCTCATGGTGAGCGGAGGACTCCGTGTGCCATGACCCAGTGGAACACCCGTTCAATCCCTGCAGATCACCACCATGACCATTGCTACCACCACCACCACTAGCAAAGCCACCGCCAACACCACCACCCACACCATCGCCATCACCACCACCAACACCACACGCCATCGCCACCACTACTACCATCAACAACACCACCACAACCAACACCACTACCAATACCATTATCACCAATGCTATCACTTCCAACACCACCACCACTACCATCAACACCACCACCATCATTATCAACACTAATCCAATATCCGCCATTCACCACTAAGTGACGGTGACGTCACCACGGTGCCTGTGCCAGGCCAGGTGCACATCAACACCACCACCATCATCATCAACACCACTACCATCATCAACACCAACACCACCACTATCACCGCCACCATCACTAACGCCACCATTGTCTATAAGCTATGAAGTCTGTTGGTTATTTGTTTAGACACTGCCCCCCCAACGGCCCAGAACTTAAAGTGGCCAGCAACACACAACACTATTGAAGGAGTCTCCCTCCTCTTGTTGTGTGTGGCATAGGGAGGGGGGTGCAGGGGAGGAGGAGGAGTGATAGAGACGCGTTAGGCTGGTACGGTGGTAACGCTCGCCGCTCCTCACAGCAATAAGGAACCTAGGTTTGATCCCCAACTCTGGTGCCTCTCTGTGAGTGGAATCTACATTCCCTCCCCCTGTTCTGTATGGGTTTCCTTCAGGTCTCCGATTTCCTCATCCCATAGCTAAACCCACACAGTGTAGCTGGTATCTGTGGGACATGTTTTTTTTATCTATTTGGTGTTTGAATATCTTAACAACTGTTTTATTACCAGAAAGGGTAACACCTATTATTATTGTTTCATTAGTGTAACAAGTATTGAACGACCTCGCCTGGTATACAGGAGGTCGTGGTTTCGATCCTGACCCTGACACCTGTGTAGCTTTCTTGTCTCTCTCTCCATGGTCGTGTGGATTTTTCTCTGGGTCCTCTGGTTCTTCCCTTCACATTTATAATCAACATCCGTTTAGAGGATTTGGCTGCTACTCTAGAATGTCCACTAAAGAGACTTCACTGTGCTATAATCTGTGGCTAGTTCGCTTCTGAAAAAAGGGCTCTATAGTTCAGTGGGCCTTGCCTGGTAAAATAAAAAAAATTGTTTATAGTTGTATAGTGTATGCACAGCAGCAGCAACTGAAGAAACATCGCCCCACTACTGCAAAAACCCTGGCAGGACCAATGGCAGAGCCAGAATTCTCAGGTAGGGGGGCAACCCCTCCAGCAATGAAAAATTATAGAGGAGTTGTTAGTAAGTAAGGACTTGTCCCTTGCTTTTTATTCGACGCGTGTGCGGCAATGGCGCAGCCATCGAGCGAGGGTCGAATTCGAAACGTGCCTTCGGGAAAGTCGGGGACTGTATACGCAACTGAGCACAACTCTGCGAGTCATTTATAACTGCTTTGCCACTACTTATTGCCAATTATGGACTCAGACTATTGTCCTATCATCTCATAGAGTCCCTGGCACGTAATAATATGCTACACAGTGGCAGTGGGGGTCGCAAAATGCCGATTTATTACTAACTCGCTTTACTACCCGGCTTCGCCCGGGACTTGGATTCACGACGCCCGGCCGCCTTTGTCTACCCAGTGGCGATGTTCACACACCACACCAGTTACTCGTTTGAGGCTGAGTCGACCTAGGGGAGGCCCAGGACCGGTTCAAATAATCGTCACCAGTGGTGGCCGTGAGCGGAAATCGAACTCGGGTCGCCGGGTTCGTAGTGCAGCGCGCTAAGCACATGACAGATGTGACGTCACAGCTCACTTGCCATGCAAAAAATCTCTGCATTATTGAGCTCCCCCCCCCCCAAAAAAATACAAAAGTCTATTTCTTTTTTATTTTTGCATGGTGTACAGTCTGGAAAGTACCCACATGGCAAATTTCAAGTTTGTTGCATGTCGGGAAGTATGCTAAACATTTTGAACAGACACACCCCCCCCCCCCCACTGGCTCTGCCAGTGGGCAGGACCCTCTTTAAAATGAGCATCGACACTCGGTAAATGAGGCGCGTTTCCTCACCGAGTGTGGCTACGAGAGCTGCGCTGGACGAGTTCGACTCCTGCATGGGCCACTCCGTGCACCGGCCCCAGGAGCTGGGGTCGCACTCCTTCTACGCCTTCTCCTACTACTACGACCGCGCCGTCGACAGCGGCCTAGTCGGTGGGTGGGCCTGCCACGGGAATGTGGAGTTGCCGCCAGCTGAAAACCCCCCGCATGGCCATTGGGAGACCTGGGCACTTCTAAATAAACTTAACATTTTTTTATTTTACCAGATAAGGCTACTGAGCTACGTAGCGCTTTCACAGAAGCGACCTGGCCATCACAAATAATAACTCAACGAAGTGGCTTATAGTCGTGTGGAAATTTATAGCAGCCAAAATACGATAAACTAATGTTTGTGTGGAGGGGAAAAAAAACGGATGATCCGGAGAAAATCCACGTGACAACAGGGAGAGAGAAATGCAAACCCCAAATATACAGCAGGCGTTAGGGTTCGGATCAAATCCACAACCTCCTGCACACCAGGTGAGGGAGTTAACATCTCGCTCACCACGTCTCCGCAGCTGTCGAAAAAGGTGGGCGGCGTGGAGACGGGCTGGGCTCTGGGAGCCGCCTTCCGTGACCTTGCCGAGATGCAGGGCGAGCAGTGAGCCTGACGCAGGCTCCCGCGGTCAGCACCCGGCCCGTTACTTCACTTCACCCGGCCCCGCAGATGATGCGGGGGGGGCGGGGGCGAGGGGGGTGGTGGACACGCAGACATGGCCCCAGCGGCGACGCATTTGGCACTCGTTGTTGTGGAGGTTCGCGGTTCGAAGCCGCCGGGCAGTCCTGGTTAACATTGCGGTGTGTGTATGTGTGTATGTAATGTTGAACTTATTTTGCACCGTACATAGGCAACCATGCTAATCGGAAGTACGGGGGAAGGACAACACACTCAACAGAAAAAGCACCCAATTCGAAAAACGTGCACCGGGCCATCATGTACCGGCATCACGGTCTGGATTTGATCAAATTTGTTGCAGGTTTCACCGCAAATGGAATGGAGTGGGAACACTCGCACAAGGCAACATCACTCCCCGCTCTGAAACTACCACAGGCCGTATCTGTGAAACGCAGGCACGGCCTACGCGATAGGAATGATGGCGCCGATACAACGTGCACTCCAGGGACGTGCGGTCAGGGGAGGCAGGGGAGGCAGAGCCTCACCTGTCATACTCCAATAGCTGTTACGAAAAGTTAAAGAAAAGAATAATCAAATCAAATATTATTTAGTATTGCTATTGACGTAATTTTCGCCCTTGTCGCCTAAGAAGACGAACGATAAATCCACTTCTTTACTGAGGGCAAATGTTTACGTGGGGAATTGCCATGAGTGTGCGTGACCGGTCTGTGAATTGTCAGTTTGTTATTCAGGACCTCGGAAATTATCTTTTAAACACAACCGTGACAAAATGTGACGTTTTTCTTTTATCGGTGTCAATCCTTTCTAAACTTGAAAAGTGTAAGTTAGTGCTTAAATGAAGATTGCAGTGTTGCTATGAATGAAGGTTTCGGTTAAGCGGGCCTGTGGTGGTGCTGGTGGCTATGCATGTGGCTGCCTGTAAGTCAGTCCTGTGGAGGCAGCAGCAGCAGCGAGGGTTGGTGGATCACCGCACAGATGGGTTGTGGAACTCTCTACTATCTGTGGGTGGGCGAATCTCCATCTGTTCCAACTCCCCGTGGTTGTTGAGGAGGAGCTGCTGTACTGGGCTTGCCAGGAGAAGGTGGTACAGTACCTGTTCCATCTGTATTGGATAGAGTGTTTCACTCACGTGGGCATTCCCCGGGCCCTCCGGTCTCTTCCCACATTTTAGCATTCGTTAATTGGCCGATGACAACTTCATAAACAGAGGATGGCAGAGCTTGGGCAATTGTGAAGCGCCAGTTGACAGCGTGGTTTCTGCCTTCCCACACCTCATCTGTAGCTCCTCCACCTCACGCCTCCCGAGTTGTCGGCTCTCTACGAGAGCGATGAGCTGCACAGCGTTACAAGTTGCAATGATTATTATTGTTATGATTCGTAAGTGACGATTTTCGTAAGCGACTAGTTGACTCTCAGCATCGTGGTGAAATTATTTACGGTGAATTAAAAGAAAATTGTTTCCGTGCTTCGTGAGACATTAAACGGATGTTGTTGGCGCCCACGTCGTGAATATTACTCCCCACAGGTGTGTGAGCGACAGTCTTTTGCCCAGGATGCCAGACCGTCAATCGGTCGGGCGTGCCATCGTAGCGCTGTTGTGTCATACTGAAATGTTGGTGTGACATCTACGCAATAATGATCGAGTATGATCATTATTACGTAGATGTGGCGAGGTGTTAACTACCTCACCTGGTATACAGGAGGTTGTGGGTTCCATCCCGACCCTGACGCCTGGATATTTGTAGTTTGCATGTTCTCCCCAATGGTCGTATGGATTTTTCTCCAGGTCCTCCGGTTTTTCCCTCTACATTTAGAATCATCCGTTGAGAATATTTGGCTGCAATAAATGTCCACATAATAAGCCACTTCATTGGGCTATCATTTGTGGCCAGGTCGCCTTCCCTGGTAAAATTAAAAATGGTATAGTTTAGAGTACAATTGGCGCTGTCGTTCTTATAGCATCGGGCTATTGCATAGGAAGGTGCTGCTGTGTTTCATCGCCATGGTATGCAGTCGTGTTAAAAGCTGGGGGGATGCTGCTGCTGCTGTGTGATTTGGCTCAGAGGCACTCCCAGTGGCAGCTGTCCCGGTATTGCACAAGACGATCATCACGTAGTGCGCAGGAGTTTCACAGGAGGGGGCGACGCAGCTGCTATGTGGTCTCGCCTAAAGCAGGGTTGGGCAACAAAAATAACAAGAAGAATATTTTAAGAGCCGCAATGGATGTGATCCTTAAAGATGCGCATGTGTCTCTGGAGCCACAGGCTGCCGACTCCTGGCCTAGGGACACCTCCAGTGGAAACTGCCCCTTCCTGTGTGGAACAAGGCGATCACCACCGTAGCAAGTTCACAGTGTGTCACAGTAGGGGGCGTTGCTACTGTTTTGTATGTGTGATCTCAATTGGCTTTTGGACCGTAACACCGGCACACAATGGGCTATCTCAGCGGTCGGGAACCTATGGCTCGCGAGCCATATATGGCTCTTCCGGTGACGGCATATGGCTCCCAGACAATTTTGAGTTGAAAAAAATAATAATAAAAAAAATCAGTTTGGAACTGATTTTAAAATACTTGTGATATTGCTTAATAATACTGTGTCATTTTAAAGTAAACAGAAATTAGTTTTGAAGATAAAATTTCTCGGGTCACGGATCCCGTGACCAGAAGTCGCATTAAAAGTAAGACATATTTAATTTATTATACGTTAAAAATACTATATGGCTCTCAATGAAATATATTTAGAAATATTTGGCTTTTATGGCTCTCCCAGTCAAAAAGGTTCCCGACCCCTGGGCTATCTGTTTGCAAGGGGATATTTAGCGTCCGCCACGAAGTATTAACCAGGGCGTCCTACCAGTGTCGAACCACGAACCTCTGCAGCAACAATTCGTCAGCGAAAACAAACAAAAAAACTCCGTCGTGTCTCCAGTATCCGACACGATGAATGGACGGCTTGAAGGAGCAATAGAGAGATTATCCGTGCGTCGATTGTCTGGGTTGTCGATTATCTTGTTCTTGCGTAACAACGCGCACTCATCGTGTTCACGCTGGTGCCAGGCACGCAGTAGCGAGATGTTATCTCCCTTGCCGGGTCAACTGGAGGTCGTGGGTTTGATCCTGACCCTGCCTACTGTATATTTGGAGTTTGTGTGTGTGCCTCTCTCCCCCCGTGGTCACGTGGATATCTCTCTGGGTCCTCCAGTTTTTCCCTCCACATTTAGAATTAACATCACGCGTTTAGAGTATTTGGCTGCGATACATTTCCACGCGATAATCCACTTCATATTCTTTGGGTCTTTCGGTAAAGTCACGTCGATAGGTTCAAAGAAAATAACAAAACACTACAATGTTTCGATCGCAACACAAGCGGTCGTCATCAGGAAAGGGGGTTAGTTTCTAAAGGCAAACTGTTTATAAATGTTTAAAATGGGCGTAGCTCAAATGTCAGCAGCATGGGCGGCGACCGCGATGGTGCGTTTCCACCAATAAAGGGCTGCCAGGTAAAAATTAGCATGTTGATGTAAGATCGCAGAGCCGCCACCACGAGGTCGGCGCGCGAAGGTGGCTATGTTGGTGTGACCCCTGCTATGTGTAGTGGGTTCGAATTAGGTGCACACACACGCAGCTTGGAGGCAACACTATTTATTAAACGGTAAGTAATATAACACTGTACATGAGTTGGTGACCACCTTCCTCAACTCACTAACACTCTGGAACGCGACACAGACTGGACCAGGCAGGCAATGGCCTGCCTGGCCCAGGACGACGACTCGGGACTTGACGACCGATGATGTCTTCACTTCGGAGTACAGTACAACAGCCTCCCTCCGCATTCACACCACGCTTATATCTGCTTTGGCGTGGCCGGCTCTGCCCAGGCCACGCCTCCCTTCCCAGGCCACGCCTCCCTTCCCCCACCTCTGGGAAGGTCCGGATCCCTCCACCACGTGACCCCCCAGCCACCCCCTTGGGGCCCCCAGCCCTCGTACGGGCCGACACAGTAGTGACCGTTCTATGTCACTACATATGTATGGCAAGGTGATGGTTTTGATTGGGTCCTCAGATGGTTCTTTTCCCAACGGTTGGGGTGATAGCTTTACGGATTGTGTCGTCTGAATATCCATTCATCTTGAGAGCTTGGTGTACGTGTTCCAGTTCACTAACAGCTGCCCCGCCTTTGCTGCCCATTTTAAAGATTTATAAACATATTCTAGGGTCTTTCGGTAAAGTCACGTAGATAGGTTAAAAGAAAATAACAACAGTTTTCTTTTAGAAACTAACCCCCTTTCCTGATGACCGTTTGTGTAGCGATCGAAACGTAGTTTTTTGTTATTTTCTTTGAACCTATCTTGTGTGACTTCATAAAAAGACCCAACGAATATTAATTCCTGCAGTCACGAAAGCTTTATGTCAAGATATAATCCACTTTGTTGAGATATCATTTGTAGACAGGTTGTTTCTAAACAGAGATGTAGAGCTCTGTGGACCTCGCCTGTTTCTTATCAGCTGTTCACACGCCATGGGTGGCCATGATGAGAATCACATTTCAAAAAATTATTCCCGATGACCCAATTTTGTAAATAGGCATGTGAACAGGACCCTGCGGGGTGGGCTGGTAGGAACGAATAACCAAAGAATATAAACAATGTATTATTACACTTGTTAAGCCAGGAAAGCCCCACTGAGTTAAAAGGTTTTTGTAGGGTCCTGCCAAGTGTTTGCAGTAGGGGGCGTTGTTGCTACCAGGATAGCGTCACTGAGTCTAAAGGTTTTTGTAGGGTCATGCCAAGTGTTTGCAGTAGGGGGCGATGTTGATACACGGACGGACGGACGGACGGACGGACGGACAAATGGACGGACGATATAATCTATTGGTGTCTGGTCCACTTCGTTCTTACCAGTAATAGTTACACTATTCATAGCTATTAACAGACAACCCCTTCAATCGTCTTCCCTTCAATAGCTTACAACAAATGTATCAGCCACACTGAATATTGCATGGAGAGAGATGCAGTTATATTGTGTATTTTGAACTTATTTCGCACAGTACGTAGCCAACCGTGTTAATGGGAGGTGCGTGGGAAAGACAACTAAACACAAAAATCCGTTTTTAAAAATGAGTTTTCAATCTAGATCCAATGTGGAGGTCTTCTACTGCTCGCCACGACGAGGGAGAGAGGGTTCGTGTCGTTTTGTTGTTCTTCCTCCCAGTCGCCCCCCCACCACTCCGGTGGAAGAGTACAGACCACAGTGGGTTCACTGTGCGGTCCATGGTGTGGGTTACATGGCCACAGTCTTCGTACTGTGGCTTGGGAATTGAACTTGGGTCCCCGGGTTCGTAGCGCAGCGCGCTAACAGCTACACTACCGCTCCCCACGCATCCACCTGCCCAACCACACGTCTCTAGCCCGAGGTCCCCTAACCCGAACACCAATGATACCAGCGTGATGCATGACAGATGAGCGCAGAGCCGCGCATTTCGTCGCAACGTGCCAACCTCGCCCCACCATCAGCCCCCACTTATATTCGTCATCGTACATGATCTCTCCACTGCCGGATGAAGGCTTCCCGAAATCGTTGCTATCTCTCACGCACCCGTAAAGTCCCCCCCACCATTCCCACCTAAACGTGAACTTAACCACGTGGTCACCACCTCCATCCTCGTCCCCCCCACCCCACGAAACGTGAACTTAATCGCGTGACTTTACCGAAAGAACCGAAGAGTAATTCCTGCAATCTTGATGTGAAGCTTTCGTGATTGCAGGAATCCATAACTCTTTGGTTCTTTCGGTAAAGTCACGTAGTTAGAAATCAAACAAATCACAAGATCCAGGTCCGATTCAATACAATACACAAATTCCGTGATCTAATCCCATCTGTGAAGGATGTCATTCCTGACATGCAATATCCTGGAGTTTACAAACTGAGTTGTACCTGCGGTGGCATATTCTTAGGTTTTTTCGGTAAAGTCACGTAGGTAAAAAAAACATTAAAAAGTAAAATAAAATAAAATTTTATTTTATTTTACTTTTTAATGTTTTTTACCTACGTGACTTTACCGAAAAAACCTAAGAATATGAATCATTGCAGTCACGAAAGCTTCAAATCTAGAACCTGCGGTGGCAGTTACATTGGGGAAACGAAATGACACGTCTCAGACCGTGTCCGCGAACACAAGGCAGATCTGAAACACGGCAGAACCAATACCTCTGCCGTAGCTGACCATTGTTATAACGCTGTGGGCTCACATGATATTGTTTTTTCCGAGACCAAGGTACTCTGCAAACCTTCGGGCTACTATCAAAGGTTTGTTCATGAAGCCATCCAGATACAGGTAGTCCCCCAGTTACGATGGTCCGACTTACGATATTTCGATCTTACGATGGCGAAATGACAAAATCGCCATCAACAACCTAACATCGTTCAAGTATGCAGACGACGGACAGAATGTTGGTGAGTATACAGCACAATATGATACGTCACGATACGTTCAATGCATATTAAGTTTTTATAGCAGATAGGATTGTTTCCTGAAAAAACTTTCTATTAAATTGCAGTTCATATAGGTAAGCTAAGAATTTACCTTGTTTTTTTACTTTACATTTTACTGTGCAATACAGTATTGTAATTAATAAATACATACGGTATATAGTTTATACAATACGGTACTGTAAATTGCTCTGTTGTGCTAAATTATCACCATTCTTTAAGACTCCTGGGTAGGCGAGGCCATCTTCGACTTACGCTATTTTGACTTACGATGGCGTCGTCGTGACGCATCTCCATCGTAAGTAGAGGACTAGCTGTATATAAACAGAGACATGACCTAAACCGAGAAGATGGATACAAATTGAGCAATCATTGGAAGGATGTTATTAACCAGGTAAAACCCTAACTGCTTTATGGTCGTGTCCATCATATCTGGCGGGTACTACTACAGCGAGTCTCATTTGCCGAGTTACCCCCCCCTCCCCACGTCCCCCCCCCAGCCCCACGTCCCCCAGCCCCACGTCCCCCCCCCAGCCCCACGTCCCCCCCCCCAGCCCCACGTCCCCCCCCCCCAGCCCCACGTCCCCCCCCCCCCAGCCCCACGTCCCCCCCCCCCCCAGCCCCACGTCCCCCCCCGCCCCACCCCCCCCCCCCCACGTCCCCCCCCCCCACGTCCCCCCCCCCACGTCCCCCCCCCCCACGTCCCCCCCCCCACGTCCCCCCCCCCACGTCCCCCCCCCCACGTCCCCCCCCCCACGTCCCCCCCCCATGTCCCCCCCCCCCACGTCCCCCCCCCATGTCCCCCCCCCCACGTCCCCCCCCCCCCCACGTCCCCCCCCCCATGTCCCCCCCCCCCAGCCCCACGTCCCCTCTCCCCCGAGCGCTCACGCAGCGCCCCCCCCCTCTCTTGCCCCTCCCCCCTTTCTTACCTATATAACCTCTTGCCACGGCAGCTCTCTCTCCCACTTCAGCAATGTGTTCTTGCTGTGGGTTTCCCACCTGATGGTGATGATGGTTGCTTGCAGTGGCGGCTCCTGCAAAATCTCTCAGGGGGGGCAAATGTCTGGATGATTGATAAGGATAAGGTCCACCCATGCAATGGATAAATTAACAGCTTAAGCATGTAAAGGCAACTTCACTTCTTTAATATTAATGAAAAATAAAGTGACTCTTACAATACATCTTGTTTGTTTCTATACTCACTATTCTTACAATCCACTCAAGTTTATTTTATCAAAGATTCCACTAGGTGGCGACAAATTATATTGTTGGATGAAACGTGCTTACGTTTGATGACGTAAGCATGTTAGTGCAAGCCCTCCCGGAAGCCATAGATAATGCATTGCAGCGCCCCCCGGTCGAAAAAAAACATCTTTGAATGTAAGTCTATGGGGCCACTCGGGGCGATTCTCAGCCGGAGTGAAATCGCCCAAAAAGAGGCGGTACTCCACAGAACGTGACATGACGCTGATTGGACTATATCTAGAGGCTGACAGTGACGACTCGCGTGACTCTGTGGTTGAATGACATTGGTGGTGCGTCGCCCAATCGCCCTAATGAAGAAACCGCCCCTGCTTGTGTTGCAATCGAAATGTCGAGATTTGTTTTGTTTCTAATTCCTGCAGTCACGAAAGCTTCGAATCTCGTTTTAATCACGTGGCCACCACCTCCCCCCCACCCCTCACCCCTCCCCCCCCTTACCCCTCCCCCCCTTACCCCTCCCCCACCCCTCACCCCTCCCCACCCCTCACCCCTCCCCCCCTTACCCCTCCCCCCCTTACCCCTCCCCACCCCTCACCCCTCCCCACCCCTCACCCCCACCCCTCACCCCTCCCCACCCTCACCCCTCTCCACCCCTCACCCCTCCCCCCACCCACCCTCCCCCCCACCCCTCACCCCTCCCCCCCCACCCCTCACCCCTCCCCCCCCTTACCCCTCCCCCCCCTTACCCCTCCCCACCCCTCACCCCTCCCCACCCCTCACCCCTCCCCCCCTTACCCTCCCCCCCCTTACCCCTCCCCACCCCCTCACCCCTCCCCACCCCTCACCCCCACCCCTCACCCCTCCCCACCCCTCACCCCTCTCCACCCCTCACCCCTCCCCCCCCCCCACCCCTCCCCCCCCACCCCTCACCCCTCCCCCCCACCCTCCCCCCCCCTTAAACCCTCCCCCCCCTTACCCCTCCCCACCCCTCACCCCTCCCCACCCCTCACCCCTCCCCCCCCCTTACCCCTCCCCCCTTACCCCTCCCCACCCCTCACCCCTCCCCACCCCTCCCCCCCACCCCTCACCCCTCCCCCCCACCCCTCCCACCCCCAACCCTCCCCCCACCCCTCACCCTTTTACGTCCCAGAATTCCCCGCGTGTCCCTTCGCTATCGGTAGTGACGCCACTGCCGCCATATTGCGTCTCTTTCGGGTCTCTCCGCTGTGAATGTTGAGCTTTCGTCGCCGGTTAATCGCCGCGTCGTCGCGGCGGATCCCAGGTTCATCGCGATTTAATCAACGAAACACATCTTCAGTCGAAGCGGCGAAGAGGAAGAGAATATAGAGGGGCGTCATGGACCTCGCGTCTTTGGTCTGCTCCCCGCGGCCTCGTTGAAGGGAAAGGGGGCGGAGCGACAAGGCGAGTCCGAGGCTTCGGCCTTGAGAGGCCTAATTGGCAACTAAAAGCGATTCTTATTTTAACTGTTAAAGTTTGTGCAAGTAATTAGTTTGGTACAGTTATAGTTCGGCGATTGAATACGAAATATAAACGGGATTAAAAGAAGCAGTGGGTAGCTGTTGTACATAAACATTGCATGTGTGACGTAATTGGAACGTAACGTACTGTAAAACTTAACCACGTAGATAACGTTAAAATTGGATTTCAACATAGAACTCTTGATTACAGATCGGCAAAGACGCGTTTTATATATTGCAAATACACGTGAATAGTGACATATTTTAACATACTATTACACGGACGTACTTAAAAATTCTAATTACCTAGCAATAATACACGCGAGTACACGGACGCGTCGGCACACTCGCTACAGGTAAACCGCGCACACCATTGTACACACTTGCATCGTTACACACGTGGGCCCCCCCTCACCCCGTGCACCAACGTCCACGATGGGCTCCTCGAAGAAGCACAAGGAGAAGGATCGCGGGGGAGTAGAGGACGAGAGGAGACGCGGGGAGCGCGGAGAACGACGCCCGCGCGGCCACAGGTCGCGCTCCAGGTCGCGGGACAGAGACCGCGACCGGGAGCGGGATCGAACCAGGTCGCGCCGGGAGAGAAGGGACCGAGGGGACCGAGGGGAACGAGGGGAAGACACCTCGACAGGCGGACCCCCACCGGAGAAGAGATCGAAACGCGACCACGAGGGAGACGAAGCCGTGACTGAGGGTGGAGATGGTGAGTTACCAAGAGTGGGGGTGTCGGCAATGGTGTGGAGCAGCGGTCGGGAACCTATGGCTCGCGAGCCATATATGGCTCTTCTGGTGACGGCATATGGCTCCCCAGACAATTTTGAGTTGAAAAAAAAATACAAAAATCAGTTTGGAACTGATTTTAAAATACTTGTGATATTGCTTAATAATACTGTGTCATTTTAAAGTAAACAGAAATTAGTTTTGAAGATACATTTCACGGGTCACGGGGCCTCAACGCCTGCATGAAGCTCAACCTCGCCACGTACGAACCAGACTACAAGGCCATCAGCAAAACCATGCAGCACCAGAAGTCGCATTAAAAGTAATACATATTTAATTTATTATACGTTAAAAATACTATATGGCTCTCAATGAAATATATTTAGAAATATTTGGGTTTTATGGCTCTCCCAGTCAAAAAGGTTCCCGACCCCTGGTGTGGAGCCATTGAAGAGGATCAACGATACTGTGCTAGCCCTAATTTTTATTTGACCTGTGTAGCTCGTTTTCAGAAGCGACCTGGCCACAAATGACAATGCCTACTTCGTTATCGTCAAGTGGAAATTTATAGCAAATACTCGTTTCTAAATGTCTAGTGAAAAACCTGAGGGCCCGGAGAAAAATGTACGCTACCACAGGAAGAACATGCAGACTCCAAATATACAGGTGTCGGAATCGAACTTATTGACTCCTGCATACCAGCGAGGGAGTTAACATC